CTAAGCTCCTAATAGAACAACCATGAGGTTCCCCTCCTCAAAACCAACCGAAAAATCCCTTCCTCTCCTACTCCCAAAACATGACTATTTTCATAACAGAAAATATTCTTCCTCTCTCCTCTAACAACCTCAGAAATCTTTCATGCCACATCAGCATTCTTTTTCTTCTTACGTGCATACATAATCCATTTCCTTGGACCTCCTTTGTTCTCATGGGCCAGTGGTTCACTTTCCTGTTTACCTTGGGCCTTATCAATACTTCCCCCTTCAATTTCAGTCTTGTCCTCAAGACTTAGTTCTGGGAATTGACTCCTCAAAGTCAGTTCATCTTCCCATGAAGCCTCCTCTGCTGATTTCCCCTTCCATTTCACCAACCACTGATTTGTCCTCTCCCCTCCTTTCATCAAGCTACGAGATGCCAACACTGATTGAGGTTCCATTTCGTCCACTCTCTCATCCTCAAGCCCTGCCTGTGGGAAGAGAAGTTTCGGTTTTGTAATTCCCTATTGCCTTCTTCAGCAAAGATACATGAAACACAGGGTGAATTCTTGCTTCTGGAGGTAGTTTCAACTTATAGGCTACTGCCCCAATCTTCTCTACCACTTCGAAAGGCCCATAATATCTAGCACTTAACTTCGGACTAATTCTTGCTGCCACTGAATGTTGTCTATGATGTTTGAGCTTCAAAAATACCATTTCACCTATTTCAAAGCTCCTCTCTTGTCGATGTTTATCTGCCTGCCCCTTCATGCGTTCTTGAGCTCTAATCAAATGCTTTTTGAGTTGACTAAGGGCTTCATCACGATCATTTATTTCCCTCTGCACTGACTCAACCCTGATTTCTCCTTGAACCCCTCTTATCAATGACGGTGGTGGTTTGCCATATACCGCCTCAAATGGGGTGGTTCCAATTGACATATGGTAAGTAGTATTAAACCAGTACTCAGCCCAAGGAAGCCACAAAGCCCATCCTTTAGGCTGATCAGTAATGAAACATCTTAGATATGTCTCCAAACAGCGATTTACCACTTCGGATTGTCCATCCGTTTGTGGATGATACGCTGTACTCATGAGAAGCCTTGTTCCCTGCATTTTAAAAAATTCTTTCCAAAAAAGACTCATGAACAAAGGGTCCCTGTCACTAAGCACCGAATTAGGCACCCCATGAAGTCTTACAACTTCTTTAACAAACACCTCTGCTATGGTTCTTGCTGTATAAGGATGTTTCAAGGCAATGAAATGGCTATATTTTGTCAAACAATCCACTACCACTAATATGGCTTCAAAACCTTTCGATCTTGGTAACCTCGTGATAAAATCAAGAGAAATATCTTCCCACACCTTCTCTGGTATTGACAGTGGTTGTAACAAACCTCCCGGGACAGTAGTGGCATATTTTTTACGCTGACATGTGTCACAAGATTGGACATACTTCATTACCTTATTTTTCATACCCGGCCAATATACATTTCCTGCAATTGCAATTCTCCTGTACGTTCTCAGAAATCCAGAGTGTCCTCTCTGTGGTGTAGAGTGGAATTCTTCGATGAGTTTATCCGTCCACTCAGAATTTGGAGACACCACTATTCTGTCTTTATAAAACAGAATTCCTCGTTGATAAGTGAAACCCGGACGGTTCTTACTTCCCTGCTCCAAGTCTTCAATGATTTTCTTCAATTTCTCATCTCTGTGAACTTCATCAATTACTGTTTGGCTATCTATCCAAATCGGTATAGACATCATATTCTTCAATTCCCCCTCTTCAAATTTTCTGGACAGTGCATCAGCTCCCTTGTTTTCCAATCCTGGTTTATATACAATTTCAAAATTGTAGCCAAGGAATTTGGCCACCCAATTTTGTTGACTTCCATTAGTGATTCACTGCTGCTGCAGCAACTGTTTAAGACTCCTTTGATATGAATAAACCTTGAATTTACACCCCAATAAATACGGCCTCCAGTGCTGAATTGATAGAGCTACATCCATAAGCTCTTTTTCATATGCAGACTTTGTTAAGTTTCTACTTCCTAGAGCCCTGCTAAAATAAGCCACAGGCCTACGTTCTTGCATCAATATGGCCCCAATACCCAGTCCGGATGCATCACACTCAAGCTCAAACTCCTTCTCAAAATTCGGTAGAGCTAAAACTGGAGTTGTATTGATCATCTTCTTCAATTCCTCGAATGCATGTTGCGCTTTTTCATTCCACTTAAAACCTTCTTTCTTGGTCAATTCATTAAGAGGTTTAGCTATTTTTCCATAATTCCGAATGAACTTACGATAGTAACCTGTAAGTCCTAGGAATCCCCTTACTCCTTTTACATTTTTTGGGATTGGCCACTCCATTACACTTTTGACCTTGGTTGGATCAACTTCAACTCTTTTCCATGAAATCACATGTCCCAGATATTCAACACTTTCTTGGGCAAAATTACATTTCTCCTTGTTGGCATATAACTTTTGATGCCTCATAACTTCCAGAACCGTTTTTAATTGAACCAAGTGCTCTTTCCATTCAGAGTTATACACCAATATATCATCAAAAAATACTAAAATTCCCCTTCGAAGTAGATCATGAAATACCTCATTCATCAATCCTTGAAATGTTGCTGGAGCGTTCATGAGCCCAAAAGGCATCACAAGGTACTCGTAATGTCCTTCGTGGGTTCTAAAAGTTGTCTTCTCAATGTCTTCCTCCCTCATCCGGACTTGATGGTATCCTGATTTAAGATCCAACTTTGAAAAGTATTTAGAACCATGCAATTCATCTAACAGTTCTTCAATTACAGGGATAGGAAATTTATCTAGAATTGTAGCCTTGTTAAGAGCACGGTAGTCCACACACATTCTCCAAGTGTTATTTTTCTTCTTGACAAGGATTACAGGGCTTGAATAGGCACTATGGCTGTGACATATATGTTCATTCTCCATCAACTCCTTAACTTGTTTTTCAATTTCATTTTTCTGGTGATAAGGATAACGATATGACCTCACATTAATTGGCTCTTGATTTGGCTTCAGTAAGATTTTATGCTCCCTCGAACGAACTGGTGGTAACCCTTTTCCAACAAACACGTCAATAAATTTGTCAAGTAATTCCTCCAATTCCCCTTGCTGTTGATTCGTGATTTTTCTTTTTGGAATATCCTGTGAGTCTCACACTAACTCCTTGATTTGGGCTGCTAGAGACTCTTCATTCTGCACCCTTTTTAACAGCTTCGTCCCTTGATTAGTGGTAATCCTCATCGTTTGCCTTCCCCAATCAATCAACATTTCCCCCAAAGATGTTAGCCAAGACATTCCTAGAATCATATCAATGTCCTTTAAGTCAAAGAGTACAACGTCAATATTGAATGTCTCGCCATTAACCTCAACTTCAATTCCGCGACAGACTCCTTGTGCTTCAGCTTTATGACCATCACCCATCAAAATTCGCATCTTCTTTGTAGGATCCCAATTCCATTCCATAGCTTCCACCAAACGTTTGGAAATGAAATTATGTGTGACTCCACTGTCGACGAGCAGAGAAAGAGATAGGCCCTGAACCTTGCCTTCCAATTTCAAAGTTTGGGGAGGATTCTGCTTTCCTATTTTCAAATCAAATAACCCAATGACACTACATTCTCCTTCATCGTCGTTGTCACCATTCCCATCACCTATATGTTCTTCCTCATCGCACTCCACCTGTAATTCATTGTCCAACATAATCACCCTTAGTTGTTTTACTGGGCATTGATGCAAGGGCCCATACGTTCCTGCACACGTAAAACAAAGACCTTTTTGCCTTCGGTTCACTAATTCTTGATAAGCCAGATGTTTAGTTCCTCTATCCCGAGGCCCATCTCTACTTTCTCCTGCTTCCCCCTTCGTATTTGGGTCAGGCCCATTCACTCTACTGCTTGCTCCATATGTTTTCGGAGCTACCCGACCCGAAATTGTGGAATAATTTCTGGATCTCAATTGACCCGTTCCTATCACATGTGTCTCACTCCTCTGCCATCCTCTGTTTCGCATATGAATTTCAGATTCCACCGCTCTAGCTCTAGCTGCATTCATCAATCTTCCCCTTGTCAACGGGTTCACCACGTGTAAGCTCCTCAGTCGCGCCCTTGTTTCCTCACGCAAACCATGAGTGAAATAAGAAAAGTATTGTTCATCCTATAATCGAGGTACTTGGGCCACCAATCGCTCAAACGTTCGATGTATTCTTCAATGCTCCCATTCTGTTTCAATGATGTCAATTGATCGAACATACTCCCTTCGCCCATTCCTCCATATCTTTCCAACAATTCCCTCTTTAAATCCTCCCACGTTAGCTCATCATAATCGTTCAACAAGACGTTGAAAAAGTGTATCATTCCTCCCTCCATGCACAAATTTGTCAAGTTGACACGCACCGCTTCACTAGTCTGTTGAACCTGGAAATAGATCTCTGCCCTTGAGATCCATCCCGCGGGATCCTCGCCATTAAATGAGGGAAGCTCAATCTTCTTCACAGATTGACGAAATTCTTCTAATGCTTCCCCTTCGAGCGTGTTCATACCCGAGGCCACTCCAGAATGTTTTTTCCTGTTTGATACACTCTTCCTCTTCACTGACCCTTCATCTTCCCCCTCTAAATCCTTTCCAGCATTTCGAGTCAAAAGCTCGACGAGTATCGAGTGGTTCTCTTGAACTTCGCGTTTCAACGCTTCTTGAAAACTCTCCATCGTTATTCTCATTTGGGCCACCTCGTTTTCCATAGAACTAACACGTGCTTCCATGTTTTCCTCGTCCGCTAATCTTTCTGGCTTAGATTGATTTCCCTTCTTCGGTGGCATTCAAAGTCCCGATGAAGTATCCGGCAGGTCAGACCAATTAATAGGATTCAAACATCAACCACATAAAATAAAGCAATAATCACACAGGTAAGTAAGAAATTTTTGTATTGAGAATGTAATAGAGACAATAATGAAACTCAGAAAAAGAATAATCCCTTTTTCTGCCAAGAGCTAAGCTCCTAATAGAACAACCATGAGGTTCCCCTCCTCAAAACCAACCGAAAAATCCCTTCCTCTCCTACTCCCAAAACATGACTATTTTCATAACAGAAAATATTCTTCCTCTCTCCTCTAACAACCTCAGAAATCTTTCATGCCACATCAGCATTCTTTTTCTTCTTACGTTCATACACAATCCATTTCCTTGGGCCTCCTTTGTTCTCATGGGCCAGTGGTTCACTTTCCTGTTTACCTTGGGCCTTATCATATCCACTCATTAAATTACATATCATCTTATAAAATCAAGATGACAGAACATTTATGAACTATTCACTCCATTCTTTCAAAACTCACAAACAATGACTTAGGGATTGTTTGCAATTTGCAATGTTATAAACAAATAAAGTGCACTATAGTAATTCAGAAAACCTATAAACCCAGATACCAAAAAGTAAAAATAAAAACTTTATTGTTCCTAATAGCATGAATGTGAATATGGGAGTAAATATATTAAATTGAAGATATAGTACGAATGTATATATACCTTATACCTCTGCTACTTCCACCCCAGTCGCAATAGCTGACAATCAGCTTGTTGAGCTGCCAAACCCCCCTTAAAGCCATCTACAAATTTAATTCCGCAAATTGCCAAAATGAAACTGAGAGATTGCAAATGTGAGTTTCAAGGAAATGAAGGCAAATTAGCTGCGATTAACATTCACAAAGCAAGTTAGCCCACTTTGACCAACAACCCTGCCGAAAGGGGACAAGATGGGTTGGCCCATCTTTTGGAAAGGGGTTAAAAAAATTAACCCCCAGTGTTTTGCAAATTGGTGGGTTAGCTTGCCTGAATAATTCAAAAATTAGTAAAATGAAAGAAACAAAAACAGATAAAAATATAAATTAGAAAAAAAAAATCACGCAGATCTATGGTTAATAATAGCTAAGAATGCAGAACAAACACAAACATTAAGTAAGACTAAGTCACTAAGAGACATATGTCGTGTATATACAGTGTACTCTCTTAAGCTGGGAAAATAAAATTAAGAGTTGCGTCATTCATGAAATGGGTCTACTTTATTCAACTACTTCATCAAAGTGCTTAAAACTGACAAAACCACAATGGTGTGGTAAAAAAATCTATCACAGTCGAACCTGATTTATGTAGGCAGTATAACATTCATATGGTTTAATTTCTTTGAAAACTGAAATCATTAAGGAAGAATTGTATGGAACTCGGTACGAAACCAAACACAGTTAATGAGCTCCCAGCATCAAATCCCTATGTTTTGTGTCGAAATCAAGAGGCAAGTTTTCACATCAAATTGGCAGCGAACAACTGTACAAATTCAATAATTCAAAATGCCATTTTATGGAGAGAACTTAACAGGTTTGCTAATCACACTCCTCAACTTTCAACTAACATAAACGTTTAGGTTTCCTCATCTACAACAGCTACGGGAGAAAAAAAGTCCTTAAATCCGTCAAAACTTGAAAAATAATCCCGATGAGTCAGCAAAATCAGGCATGCAAGGATTTGCAGCTTTCAGTTTATAATTCCCAATATTTCATTTCAAAGTCCCAACGAAATCTGAAATATTTATACATTTAAGTTCTTAAATAGGGTCAAAATATCCAAGACATGGTTCTAAAGAAATCCTCTTCCCGAAGCCATATACATAGGGCAGGTTAGGTAGTAGATATTGAAGCTAGGAACAGAGAACAGAACATGAAATTTATATAAGGGTTATTCTTTAGCGAGAGTCCGATAACTTGGTTACGCGATGAAATTCACAAGCTCATTACAAAATCATCATTTGAAACCACACGCACACATCTTCCTCGACTTTTCAATCAAACACTACAAGAAATCCAAATATCAATCATAGATCGGGTTGTTAATATATATGTTTGAGTAAACGCAACGGGGATTACCGGCGTGAAGCGGATCCAACCCTCTCCCGTATACCTTCCGTCGCGTGTGGTGGTCGGCGGGAAGCAACTCAACTGGAATAAGAGTGGGAAAATTAAACCCTAATATGATTCGAAACGCTTAAACCCGTTTACCTGGATTTAGATTTGGTGCGTTCAAATTTTGACACACTGGGTTACTCAGTAAAATTTCACCGTTGGATCACGATCCACGCTTTAAGACTGAGATATAATATTTACGAAAAGAAAAATGAAACTTTCACAACCTAAATCCATACAATTCCGATAAACAACTCTGTTTTAATATTATAATAATAGTTTTACTTTATTTTTATTTTTATTAAATCAGTCTATAAATTATTATATTAATAAAAGTGAGTTATTTATAAGGGTTGTATGGTTTTTGGTTATAAAAATATCACCACTCTTACGAAAACATACTTTGACAACCAGAAAAAAAAAAAAACATCTGATCAACAACTGGGTCCAAAAATAAATTAATTAAAAATAAGGGTTTGATTAGTAAAATTGTAGGGGGTCAGAGATGTAGTATTGTAAAAATGGGGATGTTATGGTAAAAAAAGTGAAATATATGTTTGAAGAAGATACACACTACAAGAAATCCAAATATCAATCATAGATCGGGTTGTTAATATATATGTTTGAGTCAACATCTTCCAAAGTTGGGTTCTTGGCAACATCAGAAGGTACACCTTATCAGGTTTTTGTGCAAAAAAATATTACATGACTCTCAGCTACATCCAAACACACCAATTGAAAAATATTCACGCCAAATTAACAGTTTAATCTACTTCACACACAAATATGAGTACAGAATGCACCTGAAAGTGTTGCTTGTCTTGGCACAAATTTACGTAAATAGTTTTACGTAAAGAACAGTTTTACGTAAAGAAAGAAAATATACCAATTTGTTAGAACAGGGACACACCTTCAGCAGTAAAAGAAAACCAGAGGAATACGGAGATAGAGAAAACAAGAGGTTGACTTTTCTCATATATCTCAAAGTAATGAATACAAGATATTTATACTGCCAAAACGGTAAAAACAGAAAAACAAAACCGTTATATGATTTGATTATTATTTAACACTTCCTCCTAATCAAAGAATCTATACACATAAGTCCCATAAGCTCTCTAAGCTTCTCAAATCTCTGACGATTAAGTGACTTGGTAAAGCCATCAGCCACTTGATCCTCAGTACTGCAATGTATCAACTCAATTCTTCCTCTACTCACTTGGTCTCTCAGGAAATGGAATTTGGTTTCAATGTGTTTACTCCTACCATGGAAAACAGGGTTCTTTGACAAACATATAGCTGATTTGTTGTCTACAAACAGTTGTATAGGCTTCACATATTCCATCTTCAATTCATTTAGCAAATTCTCCATCCATAAGCACTGACATGTAGCTTCTGCAGCAGCAATATACTCAGCTTCACATGAAGAGAGTGCCACCACGTTTTGTTTCTTAGAACACCAAGAAACTGGTGCATTCATAAATTTGAACAAATAACCGTAGGTACTCTTCCTTTCTACCTTATCACCACACCAGTCAGAATCTGACCAAGCTTCCAACACGTTTTCATCTTCACCGTGTTCTGCAGACCTTTTCGGGAAGAACAACCCAAGGCTAGTTGTTCCTTTTATATACCTTAGTATATGTTTTGCTGCTGCCATGTGTGATAATCTTGGACTGTTCATGAACCTGCTAATTAACCCAACACCGTAACATATATCTGGCCTGCTATTGCATAAGTATCTTAATGATCCAGTGATTTGTCTATACAACACTGCATCAACTTCTTCTTCTTCAATTTCTTCAGTTAACCTCAAATTTACCATGACTGGTATAGGTACTGGATTACATTCTGACATGTTGAACTTCTTTAAAATCTCATTCGCATACTTATTCTGATGCATCAGAATCCCATGTGATGTATGAATAAATTCAAGACCCAAAAAGTAGTTGAGAATACCTAAATCTGTCATATCAAATGTAGCTTTCATCTCTGATTTGAACTTCTCAATTTCTTGTTGTTTATCCCCTGTTACAAGCAAGTCATCTACATAGAGACAAATCAGCAACATACCTTCACGTTTTGATTCTTTTATATACAAGCCATACTCAACTGAACTCTTCACAAAACCTTGTTTATGTAGGAATGCATCAATCACCTTGTTCCAAGCTCTAGGAGCTTGTTTAAGACCGTATAAGGCCTTATTGAGTCTGTAGACTTGATGTTCACTTCCAACCTTTTCAAATCCTGGTGGTTGCCTCACATACACTTCTTCTTCCAATGGTCCATTAAGAAAAGCAGATTTAACATCAAGTTGGCATATAGTCCAACTTCTCCAGCTAGCAACAGCCACAACAAGTCTCACAGTTTCAAGCCTTGCGACAGGAGCAAATACATCCGTGAAGTCAACGCCTGGTTTCTGCAGAAAACCTTTTGCTACCAACCTGGCTTTGTGCTTGGCCACTGTTCCATCAGTTTTCAGCTTTAGTTTAAACACCCATTTCACATCAATAGGATGTTTGTTTTTCGGAAGATCTGTCAGCTTCCATGTTCTGTTTCTTTCTATGGCTTCAAGCTCTTCAATCATAGCATTTTTCCACTCTTTAATACCAATTGCTTCTTTCCAGCTTACAGGTTCTGAATCAATGAAAAAAGCAAAGTGCACCAATTCTCCATCAATGTTGATTTCATTATCACCGAGTAATTCATGATCAGTTAATCGGGTAGAAGGGAATCTGATCCTTTGAGATTTTCTGACAGCAGGCAATTTAACTACATCCGCGCCATTATAATTTTTTTCTTTCTCTTCTAGAAAACACGGTATTTTTTGTGAACTTGGTTGACTCTCCCAATCCCATTTTGCAGCTTCATCCACCACTACATCTCTACTTATGATCACTTGATTCAAAGCAGGATTGAACAATTTGTATGCACCAGTTGGATGATATCCCATCAGAATCAAGGTTTCACTCTTATCATCTAATTTCTTCCTCTTTTCATCTGGTATGTGTCTGTGACAGATAGAACCAAATATTCGAAAGTGGTGCACCATAGGTTTATGTCCAGACCATGCCTCTTCAGGTGTAACATTCTTCATCTTCTTTGTTGGACTCCTGTTTAGTATAAAGGCAGCTGTGGTTACAGCTTCTCCCCAAAAACAGTTTGGTAATCCTTTACCTTTCATCATGCATCTAGTCATATCAAGTAAAGTTCTGTTTCTCCTTTCCGCCAGGCCATTATGTTGGGGTGTATAGGGGGCTGTGATCTCATGCTCAACCCCTTTTAATTCGCAAAACTCATTCATCTCATTGGAATTAAACTCTCCTCCACCATCAGTTCTGAAAATCTTCAAACTACACCCAGACTGCCTCTCAGCTTTAGCAAGCCATTTAACAAACACAGAAAATACCTCTTTCTTCTCTTTTATCAGATACAACCACACTTTCCTAGTGTATTCATCAACAAAAGTTAGGAAGTATTTATTACCTCCTAGAGAAGATGTTTCAAACGGGCCACAGACATCTGAATGGACAACATTAAGAGGATGTTTTGCTCTTTTTAGTGCAGTAACCTTGAATTTCTTCCTTGGTTGTTTCCCAATCAAACAACATTCACACGTCTTCTGCGGGTGATGTACCAATGGCAACCCTTTTACCATTTTTTCACTACTTAACAAGTTTAGGCTTTTAAAGTTTAAGTGCCCAAATCTAAAATGCCAAAGCCAACTCTCTTCTTCAACATTTATAGAAGACAAGCATTGAATTGCAGTAGCATCAAGATTAATTTTGAATGTTCTATTTCTTGATAAAGGCGCTTTCAGTAATAACCTTTGGCTAGTGTCATAGACTTCAATGTGATTCTGCTGCATAATCATAGAATAACCCTTTTCAAGTAACTGCCCTAGACTCAGTAAATTGTGCTGCATTGAGGGAACGAACAACACATCATGCATGTATGCTGTCTTACCATCCTTTCGTGTGATCACAACCTTGCCAATTCCCTCTGCTGTGATGGTGCTATTATCTGCAAATTTGACGCTGCTTTTCACCGTTGAATCAAGATCAATTATCCAATCTCTATTTCCTGTCATATGGTTCGAACAACCAGTGTCAAGATACCACGAAGACATATCACTATCACTGTTTGTAGTAACCATTAGTAATACTTGATCCGAATCAGAACTGTCTTCATCTTGGGCCAAGTGCGCTTCATCACTCTTCTTGTCTTTCTTGTTTGTAACACCATTATTATGCCAACACTCAGCTGCATAGTGACCAAACTTGTCACAATTGTAACATTGAACTTTTCTTTTGTCAAGATTTCTCCTACCTCTTCCTCTAGATTGTCTTCCACCTCTTTGTACCTGATTATTCTTCTGTTCAGAGTTGCTGTCATTAGAATTTTCAGACCACTCTATATGTCTGCCTCTACCTCTTCCCTCCTTAGATCTTCCACGTGAATACTTTCCACCACGTCCTCTATTTCGCTGTTGATTGGCTCTGGCTTGAAGAGCTTGATCAGTGGTTCTTTCAACATTTCTTCTTTCAACAATTCGTTGCTCATGTGCTTCCAAGGAATTTTGAAGTTCCTCTACCGTCATATCTTCAAGATTTTTTGACTCTTCAATAGCAACCACAATGTGATCAAAGCGAGGGTTCAACGTTCGCAACACTTTCTCTACAATCTTTGAATCTTCTATCTTTTCATCACAAGCCCGCATAGCATTAGTCACCACTTGCAATTTATTAAAATACTCTGCCACAGATTCCTGCTCTGTCATTGAAAGCAATTCATATTGTCTTCTTAGTGATTGAAGCTTCACCTTTTTTATTTTTCCAGAATTACCATATCCATTGCTTAATATATCCCAGATCTCCTTTGATGTGGCGGCTTTCGAAATTTTTTGAAATATACTGGGTGATACACATTGATGCAGCAGAACCCTTGCTTTACAGTCCATTCTCTTGTTTTCTCTGAACATCGCTTTCTGTTCATCACTTGCATTCTTGATAGGCTCTTTAAACCCATCCTTAACAATCTCATCAACATCTTGATATCCAAGAATTGCATCCATCTTGACACACCAGTCATCATAATCTTTCCCATCAAAGATAGGAAGACTTCCTGGTATTCCCGTAACAGCCATGAGATCACTTCTCTGAATGTTCGACGCACCACCTTTCAACTTGCTTGGCCCCTCCGAACCTAGCTCTCTGATACCACTCTTGGCACAAATTTACGTAAATAGTTTTACGTAAAGAACAGTTTTACGTAAAGAAAGAAAATATACCAATTTGTTAGAACAGGGACACACCTTCAGCAGTAAAAGAAAACCAGAGGAATACGGAGATAGAGAAAACAAGAGGTTGACTTTTCTCATATATCTCAAAGTAATGAATACAAGATATTTATACTGCCAAAACGGTAAAAACAGAAAAACAAAACCGTTATATGATTTGATTATTATTTAACAGCTTGCTTTAGCTTTTCCATTGCAATATAACATTCAAGACGATTGAACTGTAAAAGAGTAGCAAAGGAAAATGATATAGCAGCGTCAACTTAGGAATAAAGTAATTATTTAAATTTATTTATGGATCCAACCCTAAGAAACAAGAAATTATACCTCCACAGGAATCCATGCTTTGGAACCTGAAGCATCCTTATTTCTACTGCATTGGACTCGCCGGGATATCTGTGAGGGAGAGGACTATCCTCGTGCCGAATATGCTGCCGAGGTTGAACCGCAGAGTGGATGACGGCGTGGTTGATGACAACGGAACCACGTTGATAATGTTGCCGGAAAAATTGTACAATGCGGTGGTGAGTGAGTTCGACTGACAAGTTGGGCAAGTTCACAACCGCGTGAGGAAAGTCGAGGTCGAGGTCGAGGAAGGAATGAGAAAGTTCTGTGCTAGAAAAATGAGAATCGGAGAAGGAGGAGAGATGGGCCAATGAATAATTTAATAATAAAAACACTGTACATTACTTTTTTATTCGGTTGTCGAACGGATGATTAAAATGGGTTGTCAAAATATCGGGACTCATTTTTCTATGAGAAAAAAAAATTGGCATTTCAAATTTTAATTAATTTTTTTTTTTAAAGTGGGACTTTAGATAGCGGTTCCCAGAACCGCTATTAAAAGTATATTTTAGATAGCGGTTCACTTGGAACCACTATTATATGTTCACTTTTAAGAGCGGTCAAAATATTAATAGCTCTTAAAAGTGAATCAGATATCGCTCTAGCGAGAGTAGTGTCGCTCAAGCGAAACACAACCCAAGAATCCCCAATCTTATCAGGTGGTGTCGCTCGAGCGATGTGAATTTAGCTTGAGCGAATGTTGACCTGGGCCTAAACGTCGATCAAAGTTAGTCGTATAATGTAACATGGGTGACCACATGTTTGAATCGAAAATCGCTCGAGCGAGAAAAGTGTCGCGCAAGCAAAACACAACCCGAGAATCCCCAATCTTAGCAGGTGGCTTCGCTCGAGCAATGTGAATTTCGCTGGAGCGAATGTTGACCTGGGGCTAGCGTCGATCAAAGTTAGCCGCATAATGTAACATGAGTGACCACATGTTTGAAACGAATATCGCTCGAGCGAGAATAGTGTCGCGCAAGCGAAACACAACCCCAGAATCCCCAATCTTAGCAGGTGGCGTCGCTCGAGCGATGTGAATTTCGCTTGAACGATATTAGAAAAATCAGTAAAATGATCGATTATTTTAGGTTATAATCGATTATATGTTATGATGATCGATTATAAGTGGTATATGATCGGTTATATTATGCTAATAGATTATAATATTAATTTATCTGTCATAATTAAATGTAATCACCTCCTTCGTGGTCACAGTTTGGGTACTTGAAGAAGTCGCTTCTGAGTGGGTGCGCTTGGAGCTTTTTCTTTTGCCAGCCATGGTTTATGTTTATGAATACTGAGATAGTCAACAGTGAATGAAAACAGAGAACAGAGAATCTGCGAGTAATTAGAAAGCAAAGAATACATTAACCTCGATGGTTGTTGTATGCTTCTTCTTTACAATGCAAACGAAATCAAACAACATGAACCATCAAATTAAAATTCAAAACCGAAATCAACAACCATATTAAACCCTAAACCAAATGAACAGAACCCAATATTAAACATAGACGAACCAGAGCCGAGAGAGAATGAACACCGGGAGAGAACGAACGTTTCTTTTGCGTGCGCCGGCGAGAGAGATGCAGAGCGAAATTATGTAAAACTATAATTGCTTAGCACAAACTATGATCGATGTTCTCCAACTATAATCGATCGTTCTCAATTATAATCGGTTATCAAAAATTATGATCGATTATTATGCAATTATAGTCGATCACTTTGACATATATGCCTTTAGATAGCGGTTATTTGGCCAACCGCTATCTAAACTACATTTATTAACCGCTCTTTAAAAGTATGATATATAGTTTTGATTCAGTAGTTTTGTATTAGGGAAGATAGATTAATATAGTTAATCAAAGTGGTTTGGTTTTCTTTCATGAGCTTATGAGCTTGTACATATACCTGTGCTTCCTTTGTCAAGAAAATTTTTATGAAACTTGACTATTAGACGGCAGTCTGTCTATGCTTTTGTGATTTTCATTTCAATTGTATTTATGGAGATGATGAAGATAATCTTCTGAATGTGAGAAGACATGTTGAGGAAGGAGGGATTTGTTTCTGATTCTGTTTTGTGCATTTGCATCTTTTGAATTTCTTTTTTCCTCAATCCCATTTTACTATTTAGCCGTGTATATTTTATCTTAATTAGTTTTGCTGCGTTCTTTCAGGTCAAGAAAAAGAATTTGATGGAGCATGTGTATGGACACATGTCAGGGACGTCAGGAGCACACTAGGAAGATTAAACCGTGTGAAATTTGTTATTAACGTAAAAACTACAAATTGTAGCTTCTGTTAAAACGTGTCTAAGATGCAAACACAATGCAGGAATCAAAGCAGAAATGAGTGGTATTTTCCTGACTCTGGGGAGATTATTTGTGCTGCTTGTGGAAGATTGCAAATATACATGCAATGAGATAATTTATGTGATACACAGACATTTGTTTCAAGTTGTACTTCACATGTTTTTCTTTTAGCAATGACAGTTTATAATGTTTGCTTGCTTTCAATGACATCCTCACCCTGTTTTCCAGCATTCTTAAACACATATTCTAGCCACTCTTTCTCCCAAGGTTGTCAAACTCTCAACTTTATGATCTAGGGAAAACTAGTTAACTAACTATCAAAATCTCTTTTAAATTCTTTAAAATTGTGGTAAACTCACATAAACTATTTAGTCAAGAAGCAAGTCAACGAATTTGAAATTAAATGAAGTTTTTGCCCCATATTTACCCTACAATAACAATATTTTATTAGGACTCAAATTATTTGAAGTAATAACTAATGAGCTATCATACTTTATTATGGTGATTTGTTACTTTTCTTAATTATGAAGTGAAAATATTGAATTAATGTCGTGTTATGCATATATGCTATTAATAGATTTAATATTTTTTTATTAAGTAAAACTCTTACAAGATTCTAAATTAAATCTACGAATTGAGTCCATGAAAAGCAACACGAGTTTATATAGAATCTCATATTTGATAACCTGCTTTCTCCCCCAAATCTTGTGACTTCTGTGACTTGTGACTTCTCAGCAACTTTTGGCAATATATAACCGTGGCCAACTTTTCTGTGACTTGCGGCTGGCTCTTTGGTGGCTTTCCATTGAACACTAACAATTTCCAGTTGAGTCAATCTCTAATCGAATCAAATCTGTAAATGTTCAGCTGTATTAATCTGTAGGGGTTTGTAAAAATCCAGTTCGAACCGAACTGTTTTAGGATAGGACCGAACTGAACTGGTTTACAGTATGACTGATTAGTAACTTTGTTTTTCTTAACTTTGCAGAAACCATTCCCTCACAAACGTTACTTATTCAGCATCTCTTGTTAAACCAGATGATGATGATGACTAATGAAGAATGCTTCTATTGTTGAGACTTTGAATTAGGATAATTATATATTTAGTGATTTGGACCTTGATCTTTTTTATGTTAATAACTTGTTTTAAAAGTATCTAATTATGCATTGCTTTCGGTGCATGTGCTTCACTATAAGAACGAGTTTTACAAATCTTGGATTTCTTGTTTACAAAAGCTTGAAATATGCTGTTTGTTAGTATTTGGTTAATTCTAGTTCAATAGGCTGAGTCACATATAGTATGAGCTGGAACAAAAATCAATTTTTTCTGTTGCCTTGTAATTCTGTCCTAATAGCAAAAAGGACTTGTGATATAAAAGCTTTGTATATTGTTCATTTTAAAGTGTGAAATATAATAGCAGTAATGTTGTTTTCTAAAATCTCTTCCTCTATCAATTCTATCTGATCAGTGGTTCCAACATCTGGTATCTCAGAGCTTAGGTTACGAAACATTATTTTGCTGCAAAATTGAGTACGAGCTTGTGAAAATCCTAGAGTGTATTCGTGAACGGTCACAACAAGGTCACAATCATGACAGGATCAAATGGGAATTTCATGGGCAATTTTCCAGTTCTTGATGGTTCGAATTGGAATGAATGGATAATTCAGATGCAGGTCATGTTTGGATTTCAAGATGTTCTTGAAATTGTTGGAGACAGCATTGTAGAACTTGAAGACGGCATTATTTCCTACAGTGTAAACTTCATAGCCTCTTAATCTTGTTGATGGTTGAAGGGCCCTTTGAACAGCTGTAGGAGGGACTATTTCGGGATTTGCATCACCCGCATTTTCGAGGGCCCATTGTTGTTTTCTTTTCTGTTTATCTTTGATTGGGTTTGTAATGAAGGTGTTTTTCACGGTTTAGGGTTAATTGAGTTGTGATGCTATATTAATGTCGAACAAGTGTTTGATGAAATGCTATAACGAAGAATTGTATTTGCGCATTCTTGCTTTGTTTTCTGTTTATCTTTGATTGGGTTTGTAATGAAAGTATTCTGTAGGGTTTAGGGTTAATTGAGTTGTGATGCTATATTAATGTCCAACAAGTGTTTGATGAAATGCTACAATGAAGAATTGTATTTGCATGACAAACATTTTGTATAATATGCACAAGATTTACACACACGTTTGCATAATTCACAATTTGACCAAAATTATGTGTAACATGGTTGCATAATATCAATTGTATAAGTTTTGCACCACCAACCTTGATAATCCAAACCGGTTAGTATATAATCAAATTTATTACATTCATTCAATTTAATTAGTATAAAATGCAATGTAATCCATTATTGCATTTCAGTGGTGTAGTGGAAGTGCATGGGCAGATATTGACTATGCAGAACTTGCAGACATTAAAGCCAAGGGGTCATATTGACAATATGGTAAGTTTGTTTATTTAATGAAAAAGTGTGATTCAATATATTTTTAAAAATTATATTTATTAATATCATATGGGTTGTTAGGTGATGCTGTTTGCAAGTAGTGTAATGATGTATGACCAAATGGATGTCACTGGTGGCAGCATTTGACGTTTTTGTTTCAATCCTTTGTTTGCGGTATGTTTATTGTGCATTTAAAAAGTTAAGTTGCACATAGGTATATTATCATTGATTGTCATTTATTTTTGTGCCTTTTGATAGACACAAGTGATTGAACAAATGTATATTCGCAAAGGGAAAACATCGACGTGGACAATGAAAGACTTCTCACTTTTCTATCCAAATACAATTATTCCATTGCAGCAGTTATTGAGTTGTGAACTTGTGAGTATTTATACTTTGCCTAAAATTTATATTTTTGTCAAGATAAAATTCAATTAACCAGAGTTTTTTCTATTTCAGATCTTTGCTCCCACTGTACACAATGGTCATTGGTGGTGTTATGTGCTGAAATGTAAGGATGGAGAACTGTTTATATTAGATTCATTGGGCCATGATAATAGATCACGAAAACCAATCGATAGAGTTATGGTAAATATTTGTTTTAAGTTGTTTACGTAGGTAATATAGTTAATTTAGAGCTATGTTTATTTGGCGAATAATGTAATATTGTGAACAGTTGCAATGTTTTGAACATCTATTGTCGCTGTTGGAAACAAAGTCATCGAGGACCACTGGAGAACTTAAGGTTACAAAGGAGGACTTGCCAATTCAACCAAACATGTTAGTATGTTATTATAGTTGAAATTTTGTTTGCAAAATGTTGTATGTAATGTGTGTAATAACTACATTCAATTGTGCAGGTATGATTGTGGATTGTTTGTTTTAAAATATATGGAGTTGTGGGATGGTGTGAGCAAAGTGAATGGGAAAAGCATGCCTCATTACACATCGGTAAACATTAAAGTCATTGTATTATTGTTTTGTTTTTTATTACTATGAATATAATTTATTATGACATTCTTCATATTGTACAGGAGCAAGTTCAGAAATTTCGAGAAGAATATGTATCCAGATGGGTACTTCATCCTCAAAATCTTCATCGACAAGTCATGGTTATTGAATTAGGAGTTAACATCCTCATCTAGTAATAGAAATGTAGATATTGTATTTGATTATTTGTTCATCTTCATTGATGAATGTTGTACAATTTATTCATATGTAATATAACTGTTAAGTTGGTTATGGATCATTTAAATGTTAAATATTATGACATTAACAAGTGACTGATTTTTGGACCATGGTTACTATTTTTTGTATCATTTTTATTTTTATTTTGACAATTACATTATTGATTGGGTTTTACCGTCCCAGTTGCACAATATCCCTATTCAGATGATGTAGACTATCTCCATGTAACAGAGAGTGTATATTGAGAACCACAGTTGTACAAAATACATGTAATTACTACCAGATTTATATGTTACGAACATATGAAGATGAGGATGCTCCTCTATAGTATTAACTGTTAAAGGGCATGTTGGATTGGTTGATAAGGGTAGAACTATCCTCATACCACATACTTGATTGATATATGGAGCGTGGCCACCACCCACTCTCACTGCTCAAGTCAACATCATAGTAGCATAAACAATCGGCCAAGGATAACTTAGTTCCACAAAACAAAATGCTCATTAATTTCCATTTGAATTTCTGATGGCAAGATGTTGATATGTAATATAAAAGAAGAAATTCAGATTAAAAGAACAAGGGAAGAGAACAATATTAACTAGCATATGGAAATTGTACAAGTGATAAGATTTATTGTAGGAAAGATGTATAGGTTTACGTATCATCTTTGTAGGAAAGAATGCGCTTAACAAAAAACAGATTGAAATTTGCATGTCACGTCTCATTCAAGTTCAGCCTTGGCCACAGACGAAATGTACAATGCAGTTAGCCACATACTGTAACATGGATAACTACATATTTGAATCACTTGCCGCTCACTTTCCACCTATTTTTTGTAAGGGTACCTTGCTCAAGCGATAGATATATCGCTTGAGCGAGTGTTGGCCGTAGACGAAACGTCCAACGCAGGTAGCCACATAATATCACATGGGTCACCACAAATTCGACTCACTTGTCGCTCGAGCTTTCATAACGTCGCTTGAGCGAGACAGAACCCGAGAATCTCCATTGTTTGAAGGTTTTGTCCCTTAAGCGATGGTTTCGTCGCTTGAGCAAGTGTTGATCCACAAACGAAACGCCCAACACAGCTACCCACATAATATAACTTGGTTCACCTTATATAAGTGTCGCTCAAGCGATGATACTGTCGCTTGAGCGAGACAGAACCTGAGAGTCTCCATTTTTTGAAGGTATCGTCGCTCTAGCGACGAGTTTCTCGCTTGAGCGAACGCTGACCTACAGAGGAAACGTCCAACGAAGTTAGCCATATAATATAACTTGGTTGACCACATATAAGAATCAGTTGTCGCTCACGCGAGTACACCATCGCTTGAGCGAGACAGAACCCGAGAGTCCCCCTTGTTTGAAGGCTTCGTCGCTCAAGCGATGACTTTGTCGCTTGAGCTATTGTTGACCTAATGACGAAACGTCAAACGCAGTTAGCCAAATAATATAACTTGGTTCACCACATATAAGATTCAACTGTCGCTCAAGCGATTAGGTAGTCGCTTTAGCGATACTGAACCCGAGATTCCCCATTTTTTGAGGTTCCGTCGCTCAAGCGATGCTTGCCTCGCATGAGCGAGTAATGATCCACTATCGAAACATCCAACGCAATTTATAAGAACCTGAGAATCCCCAATTATTCCAGGTGTCCTCGCGCAAGCGATGTATTTTTCGCTTGAGCGACTTTAGATAGGGGTTAATAAGAATCGCATTTAAAAATATATATTAGATAGCGGTTAGCCATAAACCGTTGTCTTACGTATGTTTATAATAACAGTTTTTTTATAACGGTTGACCCTTGGAACGCTATAATAAATATAGTTTACATAGCGATTGGCCAAATAACCGCTATCTAAAGTCATATATGTCAAAGTAATCGACTATAATTGCATAATAATCGATCATAATTTTCGATAACCGATTATAATTGAGAATGATCGATTATAGTTGGAGAACATCGATCATAGTTTGTGCTAAGCGATTATAGTTTTACATAATTTTGCTCTGCATCTCTCTCGCCGGCTCATGCAAAAGAAACGGTCGTTCTCTCCCGGCGTTCGTTCTCTCCTGGCTCTGGTTCGTCTATGTTTAATATTGGGTTCTGTTCATTTGGTTTAGGGTTTAATATGGTTGTTTAAAGGATGCACTTTAATATATTGGCGGATTTGATTTATTTACAGGATTGTTACATGAACATGATAACATCCACGGAACAAGTTTAAGCAGTATTAAGCATAGTAATAAAGCTTCATTGGTCACAGGCATTGTTAAATCGTGTAAGCCTAACGGCCTAGGAGACATGACTATTACAATTAAGGTACTGTAATGTTTACATATGTGAATTATTACATTTATAGGTATGTAGTTAATGTCATCATTCAATTCAATTGGGTATATTTTGTTCTGTATAGGACCCTACAACAATTGTTGAGGCTAGTGTTCATCGGAAAGTCATAGCTGATGCAGAAATAGGGAAGAACATCCGACTTGGTTCAGTTTTAGTTCTAAAAGATGTACGTTTCTGTAAGTATAAGATTTATCGACAAGAATCCCATATATGGTTCATTCATACCATTTCTATTTGTTCACAGGTTGCCATATTTTGCCCAAATCGGTGGAAATGCTATATGAATATAACATTGTATAATATTGTCAAGGTATATGAACTTCATAGCATATTGTCATTCTATAATTGTGATGTCTTCTAAGTCAAGTTACACCTTACTTAGGTATTTCCAAGCAACATTGGATGTCCAACTGAAGAACTAGTACGTCATACTGAACCAATAATATGCCCTTCCCCAGTAGGAGGTATGTGTATTTTTCTACACATAGTTATTAAGTTATGTCATCGAAAAATCCCTTGCAAATATTATATTAATTTGATATTCTTTATTTTCCAGATCCAATTTTGCTTCAACGGTTGGACCAAATATTCAAGGACAAAGGACACTAAATCAAACAACTTTGAAGTTAAAATATTGAATCACTTCAGTTTGTTTATGTTATGTTTATGTATGACCGGATACATGAATTATATTGGCAAAGTATGACATTGGGTGGTTGTAATGTAAACGATTAGAAATCAGCCATTTGTGCAATTTATCAGATTTTATTCGTATAATAAC